CCTCAAAATCTCTTTGCAGACTTAAACGGCTATGGAATAGAAATCTTTTAAATAAATAATGACTAACTATTCGTAACCAAAAAATAAATAGAAAACATGCTAGAGGTGTGACTAATGAGTCATATCATTATCATTTATAATTCATGTCATTGTTAATATCAATTTTTAAACATCAAATTTACTTATTGTACCAATTTGTAGTATAAATTGTAAATATTAAAAAAAAAAAAATTGTGATTAGTGTTCTTAATAAATCACTCTGCATACCGGAAGTACTGCGACCCTAAAACGTCTAATGATATAAGTAACAATTACAACTTAAAGTATTAATAATATTTTTATGTACTGTACGTACATCAAATATGGTTAGTATACAGTTGAGACTTATGATATTTTTAGTGTCTGAGCGTAGCGAAGACGCCGCAACAGTGTCAAAATGTCAAAAAAAAAAAAGAAAATAAGTTACTTATATAGGCATTTCCTATCCATGTATTATTATCTATGATCAACTATTGATTTATGTCAAAATACTGATGCAAAAGACACTATGGTTTCGTTATTTTCTTAATTAAATAATTAACAATAATAATAAATTTAAGAAATATAGCAAAATGTAACCAAACCAACAAGATATAATTTTAAAAACAATCGATTTTAAATTATGACATTAATATCTATATTCAATATTACAGACAAAAAAAAAGAAAGTATTGTTAAAATGAAATATGTTTTAAATTAATACCTTCTAATTAAGATTTCGCAGTTATAATTTTATTATGTAGTCTATAAATTTGCATAGAATATAGTTAAAAAAAAAGACGTGCAAATTTCATGAAAAATTCTAGTATTTGTTTTTTTTTTTTTTTTGCTTTATTTTTAGTTTTATAGTAATACATTATTTAAGTCGAAAAAATATGACAATACGTTGACACTGCAAGGTTGAAGACATCTAAAAATAAAAAGTATCTACTAGTAAACCATGTTTTATCAGCTGCTATTGAAAATAGTGACAATTTAAATATGCTTAATTCAGCTAAGTTACTGAAATTTATAAAATTTGAATTAATTATTTTTATAAAAACATCTATATAAAAAAAATTTAATTATGGAATAATCTTTATGGAAAAGTGCTACTGGTTCATACAATTAATAGGGTGTAAAGTTTATTGTATTTTATATATAACAGTATAATACATTTATTTTACTAAAATTCCAATTTCGATAGAAATTTCTGTTTTAGAAATTACTGAATAGGAAATTTTTATTAAAAAATTCCAACTGATAGAATTATAACGTCATCAATTACAAATAAGTATCCTTTTTTCTGATTTTCTCTAATTTTTAAATGACTATAAATTGTTGAAAATAAAATATTATAAAAAAAATGTTTTTTTCTAATTCAATATGTCATAAACTCATTTTTCCATTATCATTTCAAATATACACTTTAACAACAATTTTACTTTTACAATAATCATACACATAAACTGGCACATTACAGTTTATACAATTATAGGCTGTTTGTTATAATACATTTTATTAAACGCCATAGTTTTTCTTGAATCAATTTATTAACACTTCATATACTACTGTTTTATAGTTATTTTTCTCACCTTACAATATGTTAACAAATGACCATTTAAAAAATCTATTCATGATAACGAAAAAATAAATGAGTCTCTGAACAGTTCATATTTTTACTTTTTTGAAGAAACACAGTTATTTTTCTTTCTTTTTTTTTTGTATAATTGTTATTTCTAGTATATACATTTTTACTGTGAATAAGTGAATACGTTTTTATAACTAAATTACACATATGAATATTGTATTTAGAACTATATTCACTAAATATCTATCTGTTTAATTAAATCGTATTCAGAATAAAAAAACTCATTGTTACTCATAGGCATTGTGTTCGTGTCATTTAATTCAGCACACATATTCCTGTCATCACCAAAGGTATATTAAATAATATTATTATTTGTTGCACAAAAACACAGTAATTGCCTAAACCATAAGTTGAATTAACCTAACCGAATTCATAAAATTAATATTAATTTTTCTCAAACATTATATCCGACTTGTCTTATTTTCTTTTTCTTTTTGTATTATTATTATTATGTTTTATTTAAAATTTAGTATTGTAATTTAAATGTCTTTTCAGAATTTCAAAAACAAACTTTGCTTATACATTAAACTGGAAACTCACTTGAAGAAACCATTTATGTATATTCCATTGGAATAGATTAATCATTTTATTTTGATTAAAAAACATTATTAGCTTCGATGCGAAGCTGAGAAGGTATTGTTTTTACTAAGATGTGTTTTTTTTTTTTTGGGGGGGGGTCTGTTGCCACTTTTTCTCAGCTCTCACTGGACTGATTTCTTTCGAAAATACGTCAAAAGATCACAAATCGTATCTAGTTGAAGACATTACCCTTAAAAATTGAAAAAAATTCCCTTGTTCCCCGCAAATGGGGAAAATCTTCAAAAAAATTACAAATTTAAAAATTGGTAAATTTTGTCTTTTTTTCCTTAAACCTTCCATAACATTTTCAAAAATAAACAAATCAATATAATTTTTTTTTATACTAAAACTTTAGATATTTCCTTTTCATTTGATATAATTTTTTTGAAAATCTAACACTTAACCTGCTCATTGGGGGGGATTTAAAATAGCAACATTTTTACAAATACTAACTTTTTCAACTTTTTCAAATTTTTGAAAATGTTCCGGAAATACTGCGTTCTTTAAACATATATCAAATTAAAGCATATGTCATGTACTATAAAATTAAAAAAAAAAAATTTGTCCTGCCGACCTATCTTCTATGCGCAAATGGCTACCGTATTCAAAAATATGGTATTTTTAGTAATTGAAAATTTAACACTTAACCTGCTTAATGGGGGTGATTTAAAATAGCTATTTTTTTGTTAAAATTTTCGATTTTCAATTTTAAATTTTCAACTTAAAATGCTATAACTTTTATAAAAATGTAATTATCAGCACAAATTTTTTTTTCCTAAATACATTACAAGTACATCTTTCATATGACATACTTTTTATTAAAATTGGACAATTTCCCCTTATTTAGGGGGCGTTCAAAACTTGAAACATTGTATAAAACATAGAAATTTTTCAATTGAACTTTTGAAAATGTTCCGGAAATACTGGGTCCTTTAAACATATATCAAATCAAAGGTTATGTTATATACTATAAAATGAAAAACAAAAATTTGTCCCGACGACCAATCTTCTATGCGCAAATGGCTACCGTATTCAGAAATATGCTATTTTTGTATTAAAATTCTGGGTTTTGTATTTTATTTTATTTTAAAATATCTTATTAGTAGAATACGCTGACTTTCATGAATATTATATAATTTAATTGACAATAAATATAAAGGATCCTATCACTATAGTCTCCCCTCGTGAGAAGAAATTTATATTCATGTTAATATTATTTTACTATGTAGTTTTTTTGTGGCTACGATTTATTTTGCCAACCCTCACTAGACCTACTTTTTTCAACGATACGTCAAATGATTACAAGTCGTATTTAGTTGAAGATATTACCCTTAAAAATTGAAAAATATTCCTTATTCAAATAAAAAGTAGCTTAACCAGCTTTTTCCATACAAACTTTACAAAATTATAATTATTAATTTCTAATATTCTTAAAGTATTTATTGTCGAATTAGATTTGATATGATAAAAGTATTGATGTACAAAAGTAAATAATTTTACTTTATAATTTATTAATTTTTTAACTCTATTTGTGTGTGCTACTACCAGTCTATAATATTCTAAATTTGTTGGTAACATGTTGCTATACAAATCATTTCTAAAAAAAATGATTGTTAGTTTCTCTTGATTTAACAATGGATTTTTACAATTATAATCAATTTTTATAATAGGCTAAATTGAATAACTTTTTTTTTTATTGGTTTTTTTAGATATATAATCATTAACATTAATTAAATTCTGAATATTTCCATTGTAGAATCTTTTTAAACGCCAAAAGTTAATTAGAAATGATTACTATGATTTTTATTTAAGTGATCTATTACGATAAAAATGTAAAAAAATCTAACTTTTCTGATAAATAGTACATTATAATTACTATTTACAGTACGTAAATAGTAATTATAAAATTCTCTAATTGCATATTAATTTTAACAATTTCATTTTTCTCTATTTAATAATGTCAAATTGAGCTACTTGTTATGGTAATATATTCATTTTTTTTTTTATTAAAACTTTTACTTTAAAGGGCAAAAAAAAGTATATTTTATTGTTCCTTCAACTTCCAAAAATGATTTTAAATGTTTATCTCCTTGGGCTCTAAATCTTAATATTTCTCTAAAATTTCCCTGATTTTCTTGGATAAGCCTGTCATTTTCTTGTTCAACAATAATTTTCGCAGAATCTCGATGTCCTCTGAGAGGAATATTTTGTTTACCACATAAAATTACGGTTTTAATTATTGAAGTTATATTTTTTCGATTTTTTCTAATTATTTCAGCTCTTCCAGTTTCTATTTTACACGTTATAGATTTCTCAGGATGTTTTACAACATCCATGAAATTATCTGAACTTAACACACACGTTTTATGGTAACCCTTGTTAGAATGTTCTTTGAAATCAACAATAGCATTTCTCCAATTATCATATTTTTTTTTTTACTAATGCACCTAAGATTTGTCCGTTATTTTCATTCGATTTGGAAAAAGCTACACAGATTCGACAAAATGCACCATTTTCTTTTATCGAGTATACCAACCAAGGGAATCTTAATAGCCATGAATACTGGAACTTTAAGTATTTTGGTTTATTTTGAACTGTATATAGTTTTTGTGGGAATTTGAATGATATATTTGGCATCCAAATTTTCGTCATAACAATTAAGATATCTTCGTTCGATAACTTACGGTTAATATAAAATTCAATATCATAATTATTACTATAGTTTGTGTCCTCAGTAAAAGNACTTACGGTTAATATAAAATTCAATATCATAATTATTACTATAGATTGTGTCCTCAGTAAAAGAAATATTATTTGAGTCTTTTGTATCTAAACTTAAAGTGCGACAAATTTTAGCGGAGTCAATCGAGTTAACTGGCGAAGATGCTCGTTTATTCGTAAGAGTATTGTTGTTATGAGTTCAATTAAATTCTGAGGTAGTAGGTGTTAACTTAAAAAATGAAGTAATTGATCCTTGATTTTGCTGTGCCATTTTTGATAATTTTACAACACTTTTTTCCTTAATTATCGCAAGCTATAATAGTTAAACAAAATTCAAAAAGGTTTAATTTTTTTATTTTTTAGAAAAATTCTTAAAGAACCATTTGTAGAGTTACATACAAGTATAAGTAACTTAGAGAAAAAAAATTTAAATTGGTTGAATACTAAATGAATAAAAGCAATTTACCTTGGCTCCCTCAGCTACACCCAGTCATAATATTACATAATATGATTGAAACACTCGGGCGGCAGTGCGGCATTTTTACTCTAACTGCCATCGTCGTAGTGACTGCCGGATATCTGTAAAACTCGCCAAAAGTACAATTTATAGAGAACGTAGATTGCAATATCGATAAAACACGAATTTTTCTATTCAGTGAAAAATATTATATTTTAATATAATTACTTACTCTTATTCTAATAGTTTATTAATCATATTAGTAGTTGATATGTATTTTTTAAGGGGAGGCTCAGTTTCAAAGACTATATTGCTAGTATAATGTATAAATGGACAGCACGGGTAAAAGGAAACAAGTAAAAATTACTAGTTTCGTTAAATATTATTTATGTATTAATATTTTTTTGGAATAGCTAACTGAAGCATAATACTGATCAAAATTATAAAATAAACTTTTACAAACTCAGTTATAAATGACTTGTTAAATTTTACTTTTTTTTGTAACGCGTAATAACTTAGTGAAGATATAATAAAAATAAAAATATTATTTTAAAATATTTAAATAAAATTAAAATTGTATAATAGTTTATAACACATTTATTCGTTATTTATTCGTAATTTCTAATAAAATTCCTGTAATTGGTTCATATTTTAATTATTTATTTTATTTGAATAAATAGGTAGGTACTTAGTACTTACTTTATGGCACGTTATAGCTGTATGCTCGACGGTCGACGAAAAAATTAATATCAAATAATAGTATTATTCAAATGTATAATTCTCTAAACTGATAAACTATATAAAATAGATTTCAAAATAAGCTACAAGTTCAGAATATTTCCGTTGTTATTATATTTTTCCTGCGGGTATTTTTGTTATCTTTATGACCCAATGAAATTCAAATAATTTCTAGATATCCCTGATAAAATTTAGATAAATCTCGTAACGTGTCGTCGAATCATATCAAATTAACTTCATTTTTGTCATTTATTTAAAATACCATTTATTTTATAGTATATTATAAAAAAAATGTAATACCAATATATTATGTATCTTTATTTTTTAAGTCGGTGGGTGTCCAGACATGGAGGACACCCCCCCAAAATACGCCACTGTATGGGAACTATCATCACAACACCATTTTGAACGTTCTGCGTACCTGTACACCTCTACCTGTATAGGAGTGGTTTTAAATGTATGCAAAAATCTCTTCAAAAGTGTCACTTTGCTGAAAGAAATTTATAAACTCAAAGTACATTCCAAAAATGTATTTTTATGTTTTTTAACCTTATTATAAAATATTTTTCGGTATAAGGGAGGTTGTTTAAAAAAAACTTGTTTTACCAAAATTAACCATAGACAAGTACATAATATCGAATATTTTATATTCGAAATTCCATTTTGCGGGTACTAGAGTAACGCATCTTTTGAAATCTTGACAAAATAATATTTCGCAATATATTATTTCGAGATCAATGATGTACTGAAAGTGCAAAGTATTGACTTACATATCAGTTATAGTGTACGTTACTAACTGTATTTCGTTCGAATTAACAAAAATGGAAAATTCAAGTGTTTGTTTGTTTTGTTTTATTGGCAAATACATTATCAACAATCGCGAGAATTTGTGCTTATACTTTCGCGTATAAAACGTCAATAAAGCCAACCGTTTGCACTATTATTATGGTTGTGATAGTGCAATTGTACTGCACTATGACACTATGTTTGTTTTGTTTATTGTAATTTTTATATTATATTATGTTAATCTTATAAAAATGTTTTTATAATACTATTTTTCGAGGATAAGAGAGGTTGTTTAAAAAATAATTGTTTTTACAAAATTGTACATAATACCAAATATTTTGTTTTCGAAATTTTATTATGCAGGTAACAGAGTAACGAACATTTTGAAATTTTGACAAAATCATATTTCGTGATGTATTATTTCGAGATTAGTGATGATACTGATAATGAAAAGTATTGACTTACATCATTTGTATAATCACTAATATCGGCTTAAAAAGATTTTTATCTAAAGTCATTTTAAACCGTCTAAAACAATTATTGATTTCACCACAAAATTACATACGAGAGTCTTCTGAAGAAACTTATTGAATAATGGTAAAATAAAAAACCGTAATATAATACAAAACTTATTAACTTTAAAAACGTTCAGTAAATTTATTTTTCACACACACACACAGATATGACTCTAAACTGTAATTTTTTCATTAAAATAATAATAATATTAATAAAATCAAAATACTTCATTAAAATATTATGAAAATAAAAAACAATTCATAATATTATTTCTCCAATTATATTAATACGTTCTTGTAAGATATTATATTCATTTAAAGGTAAATATTATATATGAAATCAAAATTCAAACTAATAATTTACATTACAACAAAGATTTTTGTAATATTATTTTTATAATAGATTATTAAAATAATATTTTAATTAAAAAATTGCTATCAGGAATATAAGATCGCAAAATATACAAATTTCACAAGACAACAAATAATCAAAAATATATTGTTGTTTTTATAATATTTAGGTAAATTCTGTGAAGAATTTGGACGCTGATTCCAAATCGCAATATTTCTATTATACATTAGTTTTTAAACAATTAGCGATTTGATAGTAAACAATAATTTTTTTTTATTGCTTTCAATAC